AAGTTGATTCATGAGGCCCCTTCCACTCTTGAAAGACCAGCACTTCATCCACACAAGGAGAGATTCTACTCTGAGTAAGGGTTTGCCTTTTCTGCCTGTAGAGACCCAACTCTCACCATTACATGGGGTTCATGGAATGCCTGGTCCACAAACATGGAATTCCATACACTTAGCATCTGCTCAGTGAAGGAAAGACAGGAGTGAATCTATGACCATGAGATCCACTGGCCAAATCACAGCCTTCTAGAATGTTGGAACAAACATCGCAAGTGCAACTGAAATGCCAGCTTCCAGGAAACTCTCTGAAGGAATCATTCCATAGGCTGCGACACATTTATTAAATCAGAGACTCTCTATGGAGCTGTGTCCCCAGTGGGAGGGACATGTGGGAATGGGAACTGAGGAGTAGAACCAAAGTGGCTCCATTAGCATCACTCTCAATGACCCCCTGGGGATTCTCTGCTTTCCATCCCCAAACATTGCCTTTTTTTTGGCAGGGCATGGTGGCTCACACCTGTAATCCCAGCACTTTGGGAGATCAAGGTGGGAGGATCATTTGAGCCCAGGAGTTCAAGACCAACCTGAGCAACATAGTGAGATCATGTTTGTACAAAAAATAAAAAAATAAAAATTTTGGTGGCATGGTGGTACATGCCTGCAGTCTCGGCTACTTCAGAGGCTGAGGTGGGAGGATCGTTTGAGCCCAGGAGATTGAGGCTTTGAGGCTGCAGTGAGCCATGACCACACCACGGCGCTCCAGCCTGTGTGACAGCAAGACCCGGTCTCAAAAAAAAAATTGATTTAACTTAACACTTCTGTCTTTTTGTTCCCTAACTTACTAAACATTTGCTTTTTTCTTTACTAACCTACTCCTGCTTTGCTTCTATTATTTTGTTTTCCCCCTAAATCTTTATTAGATGCTTAATTAAAAAAAAAAATAAGTATCTAAAGCTATACATTTTCCTCTGGTTTCTACCTTAGTAGTATATCACATTTTTTATGTGTTGTGTATTCATTTTCTACAGTTTCAGTTAGTGGTTTCTCTTTGCTATAAGAACTGTTTAAAATAGTTTTGAATTTTCACGTAGAAGGAATTCCCATCCCTCCAACCCCCAAACTTTATGAATTCCTAGTTTTATTGCATTGTAATCACAGAATGCTGTCTTCACTGTTTCCTTCATTTGGACCTTGTTGAGGTTTTTCCTTATGGCCTGATAGTTTCAGTGAGTGTTCATGGGCAATTGAAAGGAAAGCATATTCAGTTTTAAGGATGTATACACTGACTGGCATATTATCAACCAGCTCTATCTTATCAATTACTAAGGTCTTCTGTGATTTATTTGCTTTTTATCTACTTGATCACTGATAGTCTGAGAAACAGAAAGGTTAAATACATCTACTCAGTTCTCGTAGCAAATGGAAAACTTCTCTACTAAACGGCAAAATCCAAATTCAGGCAACCTGACTTTAGTTCTTAACTACTGTACCATGCTGGCTTTCATGGATATTCGTTAGATTTTTCTTTATATGGTGTCACTTGGGGTGAAACCTTTCAGGAGGAGAAAGAGAGATTTCCCAGGGAAATAACTGGAAATCAATGAAAAGAATTGTGAGGACATAGGAGTTAGCAAGATATCCAAGAAGTCAATGATATGGTTTGGCTCTGTCCCCACCCAAATCTCAGCTTGAATTGTATCTCCCTGAAATCCCGTGTGTTGTGGGAGGGACCCAGGGGGAGGTAATTGAATCATAGGGATGGGTCTTTCCCATGCTATTCTGATAATAAGTCTCAAGAGATCTGATGGGTTTATTAGGGGCCTCTGCTTTTGCTTCTTCCTCATTTTCTTTTGCCACTGCCATGTAAGAAGTGCCTTTCACCTCCTGCCATGATTCTGAGGCCTCCCCAGCCATATGGAACTATAAGTCCAATTAATCCTCTTTTTCTTCCCAGTCTCAGGTATGTGTTTATCAGCAGCATGAAAATGTACTAATGCAGTCAAGCAATTCTCTGAGAAGCTGAGGAATGGTACCAAATGGTAACGTGACTAGAGCAAAAGAAACTGCAAACTACACGGAATTTTAGTCAGTGAAGTTGCCAAGGGTTGGTATAGTAAGCAAGGGTGCGGTGTGGTGGAAGCAGGGGATGTTGGATAAAGGTGGGATGGTAAAATGCCTCGTATCAAGCAACTGAGTGAGCGGGGGACCAGTCCCATCAACATTCTGTTAGAGGGTTGTGATAGTGGAATCATTTCTCCTCTGTAGACCTTGCAAAATCTGACTTGGGAGAAATGTATCATCTGTTCTAAAGCAGGAGACTCCACCCACCAGAAACTCGCAGGTTTAAGAAACAAATGGGGATGGCCCTGAGTTGTTTGCCTATTAAGAGGAGGGGATAGCTTCTTGTGGATGAGGGCAGAGTAATGAGTAGTCTTCCATCAACAGCTCTTTCCACTCCTGAGAAAAGGAGAAAACGTCAGTGCTGAAGAAGCCAGTCTAGAAGTTTGCTAGAAGTTTGCTTCCAGCCAGTTTGCTAGAAGACACGGGTCCACCCTAGGGAACTTGAAAAGAGGATACAAACTAGACCAGTGTCCTGGTAGAGGGATGGAATGGTGGGGAAAATTACTCCCTTCTTATCTTTCAGCCTTAGAAGTAGAAAGAGAATCTATTCTCTTCAAATTAGAGACTAATTTAGTTGCCCAGGCTCTTAAGGGAAGTATCTTGTTTGCAAAGATAAAGAATGCAAAATTCTACCAACATACTGGGAGAGAAACGGAATGGTTGTAAATGGATTCCCTAGGTATCTGACAGCTTTGGAGTAGGGAAGATGAGAGTAGGTCTCTTGGAGAGAGTTGGTTTTCTAGGCACCAGGAGGGTCAAGGTCCAAGTTATTTGGATCCCTGAACAGGAATTTTAGATCTGCTCTCACGCCCACATCTTCATGCCTCACATCCTGGAAGAGGGATATGGAGAAGTGAAACAGTTGGTTACTTGAAATTGTCCATTTAAAGCAGAGGGAGGAAAGATGTGGAATTGAGTCAGGCTAGAAACAAAACTAGCTGTGGA